GATTCATAGGCGGAATTGAGCTGATGGTGCTGGCAGAAACTACGGGTCGTAACCTAGCATGTTCGTACCAGTAATGCAACTTGAATTAATGACTAAAAATACTATATCCTAGTATGCCTTTCGTGACAAATGAAAATCAGATGAGTACCTAAGCACTAGTGGCCCACTGTCACATCAAGCGCTTGATCAGGTCCTCACTTTGTTGCCAAAGCTTTTTGTTGGTCTTCGAATCATTGATCCAATTTGCTGCTCGAGAGTCCAATTTACCCACCGGAACGAAATACTGACCTTGTCCCATAATCGGCGCCTTCGGACTGGTGGCGCAGAAAAGAGAATTCAACGCCCCTTCTAGCGGGGTGCTACCAGCTGCAAATTTCATAAGAGTTCGCACGACGCTGCCAATGACGGTCGGATCATGCCTTTGAAGATTCGATCGGACAATACCCGGATGAAGCGAGTATGCGGTAACCCCTGTATATTGTTCAGCATGGGAGTGTCCCTCAAGTCGATGGTAACCTACCCTGAGAACCGTAACGATCGTTCAACTCTTTCGCATCCCGGATACTCGCTTGCTTAGAGTGCCCATACCGTTGCCTTGTAGGATTTAGTGACAGAGCACGGCTTCATTCATCCAGGTGTGCACATACCACAGTTCCGTCATTCCCTTTGTCTCGGTCATATTTACGTCGTCCAGCAACAACGTCTTCGGGCCGAAAAATGCTGCATCACTCGAGACATTGACAACGCGCACACGGTCGGAAGAGCCGGAAGAAGACGCAGTTTTCAAGAGAAGCGGCATCAGGGTTGATGTAAGGACATGAGGCGCCAGATAGTTAACCTGCCACTGTGTCTCGAATCCATCAACGGTAAGTTTGTATGGAACTGTCATGACCTGATGGGGCATTGATAGTTAGTATCAGAGCTGACATTCTGTAGCTTTCTTGAAAGGAGACCACCTACGCCAGCGTTGTTGACCAGTATGTCTAGGCGCGACTCTTCTGTCATGAAACGTAGTGCGGTTGCCCTGACAGATTTCAGGTCTTGCAGGTCCAGCTGAAGAAAACGGAGATCTAGCTGCTTCGCTCCATTTGACTGCGACATCTGCCGGATAGCCTCTTGAACTCGCTCTTGGGAGCGGCCCGCAATGTAAACGCGCGCATTCTTGATAGCAAGCTGCTGCGCAGTTTCATACCCGATCCCAGAATTCCCTGAATGAAGGTAAATGAGTATTCACCGTGTAGCCTCCCAGATAACACAATATAGAAAGAACTCACCTCCAGTAACAATCACGACATAACCACTCAAATCTGGAATGTCTTTTTCCGAAAATTTTGCGTCTCGGGAGTGCATTATTGAGGAATACAACGGACTGGGGAAATACGTGGCTGGCGTTACTTCGACGGTATATGCACCAAACAGCAATGTGTATAATATATTGTAGCGAAGTGCTTTTAATGAACCCAGCACACCAACTGCTATTTAAAGCGTCGAGGGCACGGAAGATCATCGGTGGCTCGTCCGCGGAGCGGGTCTTGCCCCGGTGGAGTGGGTACTAGAGTGGGTCTTGGTCCGCGGAGACATTTCGGCGATAAATTAATCCGCTCCCATGACTCCACTGCTTCGGTCTTCTAGACACAACGCCCGGCATTATTACAGGCAATGTCGGCGTTAACAGCACTTAAGTGCGATTGGAGCTATGGGTTCTAGTATCAGGCTGCTGGCTCCATGGCCGCTTTGTCTAGTGACCATGTCTCGGTTGCCATCCACTAGCCAAGATCCCCGGTCCATTCCTCTGGGGCCTCTCCAGTCTCCCAATTCTCTATCACCAATACTGTAAGGAAGGAAATCTCATCCATGCTCTTATTTTATCCAATCTCCCCCAATGAGGTCCGCTTAAGCGATCCGGAGAACTACTAGAGGATTTACAGCGTTGGCAGCAAGTTTCTTTAGGAGCCTGGTTACTATAGTCCCATTGACACGGCTCTCAAGACTCCTATCCTCCTTAGTGTCATTGATAACGATATTCATAAGACCCGTCGAGCCGCTCTAAGCCCCTTCTTCTCACGCCGGTCCTCGGCCTTGAGGAAGTCATCTGGGCTAAGGCCGATAAGATGTGCAGCGTGATCCAGTCTTCATTGTACAGCCACCAGCAGTCCTTTGACCTCCATGGTGCTGTTCGCGCCCTGACTGTTGATATTATCACAGAGTATAGCTACAATGGATGTTGAAACCAGCTCGACAAACCGGACTTTTTTGCCAGATACCAAGAGGCTATCCGAGCCATTCAAATGATATTTGTCTGGCAGACGTTCCCATTTCTGGTCGTCATCTTCAATATAGTTCCAGAGTGGCTTTTTAACCGACTGTTAGACAGCCTCAGAAAGTGGGACGATGGTTTGGCTGTCATCAACAAAGGACGGACATCATCAATGTGACCATCGTGGTTATCTGGCTTCTGCCAAGGCAGTAATCACGCCAAAGGATCCTTGCATTCGGTCAATCAATTTCTAATTCAGGCCCTGTGCTCCTAGGAGTGTTTCAACTGCAAGCCCTATATACTGTTGCATTTTATTGAGGTGGGTATTACTTAACCTCTCAGCAGTTCGTGAAATATATGATTATGTAATACTCACTGAAGAAGTCAGGCTGCTCAGGGGCGTGCTCAATTCTACTTAGTGAGCAAAAAGCGGCAAGGGGTGAGCACTGAAACGGAAAGGGAAAGCCAGGAGTTGCTAGACATTATCCGGTATGTACGGAGTATGTTTTCTGTCTTCGAATGCTCACCGCTTCTTTGCATTGTGTCACAGTACAACATAGTTACATGTCAGATTGAGGCATAATCTGTATACTATTGTGTTCAATGACAATCCCTTTGTTGAGATCAGATGCAGCTGACTAGTACTAGCTTATCGCTAGACCATACAAGCATTTGAGCTCGGTCTTAGTTCGCTAAGCATTTACCAAGCAATAGAATACCTGACCCTGCATATTCTCTAATAAATTAAATAAATTTGCCTTATTGTTAGTTGCACATCAGGTCGTCATCAAATTACTTCTGTCATTTGTCTTTGGTATTCTCCTTTTAGGGTTGTAGTGGGTCCGTGTATATATATCTTGCCTACCATCGGAGCTCATCGTAATTGTTGTAGTTACTACTATGAGCATAAGCTGGTCGTCCAGCAGCCCTTAACCTGTAACACCACTACTAACTGCTTAGTCATCCTCCAGTCTTGTTGCCGGCCCTTACCTTGACTTTAACTAACGATTGTTCCTGTCAGCTTTATTGAAAGTCTTGTCCCATACACCTAAAGAATCGGTTTTTGAACTCCGAGAACTATAATCAGATTTCTGTCGATGAGAACCAACCAACATCGCCTCCTTTATCAAAACTTGTGGCTATGAACTCGGTTGTACATATCTCAAACTCGTCAGACAACAGAGCTTCAACTACATGTCCACACCATTCAGAGAGACCCTTAGCAGGAATGATGTCCGGATCTCCTCCGCCCGAGCTATGAGTTCATCCACATCCCAGTTTGCCCAGGTCAACTTGTTCCTCAAAAATGCAGCTTCATCCGACGCAAGCCACACAACAAAGTGTCCAGGCAACTCCACTGCAAGGTGTGTTAGCATGGCTACGCAACCCATCGGTCTTCCTGATGGCTTGGAAGATAAACAAAAGGACTCACCCGTGTCTGGCCCTACGGGGATGTTCGGGTTGATCTCAGTGCCAACGATGCCTGGATGGAAGCTCGCGACGTGAATGTCCGGGTGCTCGGAAGCATAGTAGTCGACCATCTTCAGCGCCGCTCCCTTCGTGGCCGCGTAGCTCCATACTCCTGGCACCTCCGGGAGAGGAGCCCAGTGACTGATAGAAGACGCCGTGTACAAGAACTTTGCGCCAGGGGCGGCCAATGGGGTAAACGCGTTCAAGGCGTGGAAAGTGCCTATGGTGTTGATCTCGAAAGTGCGCCGGAGTTCTGCCTCTGGGTAGCCAATTACCGGGCCCTCTTTCGGAAGCATACCAGCGTTACTGACGAATATGTCAATGTTGCTGCCGACCTTTTTCACAATCGCACCCAAAGCCGCATTGATAGAGGCGAGGTCGGTGATGTCGCCTGTCTGCATGACGACCTGAGTCGAGGGGTTGGCTTCAGTGATCGCCTGCCCTGCAGTGTGGAGACGGTCGATCCTGCGCCCGATAATGGAAACTGATTTAGCACCGGCCTGGGCGAAGGCGATGGCGGCCGCCTTTCCAATTCCTGTGCCTCCACCGGTGATGACAACGTTTTTCCCGGCCATCGAAAGCTCCGGGCGTGTGGGTGAGATAGCCGGGTAAGTATCATTGTGCCAAGTCTTGGTGAATGACAAAAAACTTTTCATAGGAGGAGAGACCATAATGAATACTGGATATGCAGCGGAACAGTGAGCAGGGAGACTCTCTTGAAGATGGTCACCCCTCTATGCGGCTGGTCACTTCTTTATATAAGTACCTTGAATGATTGATTGCTAAGCTATTCGTTACCCGCTTGTTTCCGTGGAAGTTGTTTGAGATTAGAAAGAATGCAATTTTTCTCCTTGGCTGTTGCTACGGACATTTCCTGGCTTCGAAGCAACGGCAAGTAGTGGGGGATGCCTTATCTGGAAAGAGCAAGTCTTGGCAAGGTCATTCAGTGCTTACAAAGGCTGCACATCTACTTATAGTTAAGTGTAAGAAGTTCTGGTAGGTGATTTACTAACAAGGAAAAGGTCAATCTATCAATGAGTTTGTTTGTGCTATGAGCCAGAGTGGGGACGTGGCACTATTCCTTATCGGGAAGGAGCAAGTCTTGGCAAGGTCCTTCATTGCTGACAAATGACGCATACCTCCAGGTTGGTTCAGCTCCGAGGTTCGTCCTGCAACGTCCGGTCATGGCTTTAAGGTTTACACGCTTTTGCATCTCATCAACTCATGGTGGAATTCATAGTGGCCCTCGTTCAGACGCTGAACCACGACCACAATGTCCCGCACAAGAAGTGAAATCCAGTTCATCCATTCATCCAAACCCGGAGTACCCGAGGTAGCGTCGGCTGAAATGCGACGACTAGTTCACTCACATGCAGCCCGATCGGCACATGCCAAGACGAGGCGACAGAGAGTCATTGAGTACCATGCAATCAAAACTATCAGTGGCTCGGAAGACGAAGGCCTGCCATTCTCCACAGCGGCCGCCGAGATAGCGATATCCGTCATCCCAAGCCCTTTGGGCTTCCTGGAGTCTCACCGGAGAGATCCCTTCGCAAGTTTTGCCAGGAGCCTAAATTCGAATGAAGATTTTCTCTTAGACTACTGTAAGTAGGGCTTTATCACGTCAGAAGAAGTCGATGTATCTAGCAAGTCCGCTACTTCTCACGGACCTCCTAAGAAGCAGATTTTGGTGACTAACCTAGCGCAGACATGGCAAATGTTGTACCGTGTTCAACTTTGCAACGTAGCCAGATTAGCCATCCGGAAAGCTGTACACAGAACCTAAACAAACACTTCGTGCAACTTGCTGCTACCAATGCTAGCTCTTTGAATGGTCTCTTTCTCGTGTCATGTCGCCATCTGTCACAATTTCTACCACATAATGGGCCATACTTTGTTCAACTCGCCCTTCAGTACAAAATCGCGTGTGTGGGGTCACTAAGGGAGGCTATATCATCTTCAGAGATACACTCTCGGATTAGTGATTCGATCCTTGCGTTACCCCTATTCCTAGCACATGACGAGGTAATTATGACTGCATCTCTTGATTTACTTAACGTACCGCTAACAAATCACAGATCCTGGTTGGTGATGGCCCTTCGACTAATATACATGTACAGGGCGCAATCCAGATGGCCAGGCATAACAGAGCATTAGATAAGACCGACTGTAGTGCGTTTCCTTATGACCTCATTCAGAGAGACATGTAGACTAGATATACCCCTTATACAACCCGCTACATCACTTCACTAGCTACTCACGAAATTATGGAACCATACGTTAGGCCGTTCAACAAGAAATAAGCTTCAGATATTCTTGGCCTGGAGGATGTATATGTTTGAGAGTTCATGTATCTTCTAGTATAGCTCGCGTGTTATGACCCCTGCAACGGCCAGCTAATGGATGGACTGTTTAAACAACGATGGGCCACCGAGAGCCAACCAGTTCGGAGGGAGCATGCGCTAGCCCTATGTCACGTGTATTTCGGATATGCTCCAATAATGCTCTTGTTGTCATACTAAAGTCAGAGAAACGCGTGCGGAGTAAACCAATATCGGCTGGTGTATTCCAGTTGCCGTCCACCTGGCCCAGATCCGCATGTTCGACGTCAATAAATTACATCCCGAGGAGACCACCGTGCATGGATGATGATGGGCCGACTTTAAGATTGACCTGTCTTAATTAGGTTAGACCACTGTGCCATTAGGGATTCTAAAATCATGAACATCATCATTAATCTATACATACATGTGGTTATATTACAACATCCATGTAGGCACACGTCACTCCTGGTCAGCCTGAGGCTTAATGCTTAACTAATCATAAGACTGACCACACCTTCCAAGGTGAACCTCAAGGCAACCTTGGAGGTACTTAGACAGTCAACCTCATTCTCACCATGGATGTTTACGCACGTGTTAGGTCAAGCATAATGTCCTGGAAAAATGACACACCCCTCCCAGCCGACGTGCCAGATCCAAAATTCCAGTCCTGGCACCAGTTCGATCCCAACTCCCAGCAGTGGGATCCAGTGGGTGCAAATGAAGATGCAGAGCCACAGCGCGCTGAGGATACATCATCCGATATGGTGCTCTTGACCTGGAATATTGACGCATTATCCGGTGGGACACAAGAACGCGTCACAGAAATTCTCACATTCATTACTCACCTGGAATCCAAGGTGGACATCATATTTCTTCAAGAAGTTTCGCAGCGGGGCTTACGACTGATTTTGAGCGATGAGCTTATTCGCGGATCGTGGTTCTCAAGCGCGCACGAGAACACCCCATGCAGAAACTCATTCACGACAATGACCTTGGTATCCAAGACGCGCTTTGGATCGCGACACGGCTCGGAGACGAGCAGGTTTGCTCTAGGGCCTGTTTGGAGGGTGGCGTTCCCTAGCCACTTTGGAAGAGATGCACTATTTTGTGATCTGTTCGTCCCTTCACCTACAGACACTTCTTCTACTACCCGAGTACGGTTTGCAAACGTCCATCTGGATTCTCTGGCTATCAAACCTTCCCACCGGCCCCGGCAGCTCTCTATTGTTTCCTCTTTTTTGCGTAGTGCAGGCCGTGGGCTGGTTGCTGGTGACTTCAACCCGGTCCTTGATGAAGATGCTGTTCTCGTAGAGACCAATGGTCTTACAGATGCCTGGACAGCTCTTCGTCCTGGAGAACCGGGTTACACATGGGGAGCGGATGGGAAGCAGCGATTTCCGCCAAATCGGATGGACAAAGTCGCGCTGCTCGGTCTCAAAGCAAGTAAAATTGAAATACTCGAGGCTCAACAAGTGGGCGAGTTGGATGGACAACAGCACACTCAAAGTGACGCGAATATACCCGAGTCCCAGCAGACTCAGCCCGAAGTAACACTCTGGAGCGACCACCATGCTTTGCTTTGCTCTTTTGGACTCGGAGAGTGAATGGTAATATTTGCTGAACCTGATAATCGCATTATCAACAAAATGGAATTCGACACTTCCTGCCACAATTCTTTTTTCTAATACTCTTCTCTCATTCGTCTAATTATCTCTTAGCCAACCAGAAATCAGGACCAGGAAAGATACAAGAACTTGTTATGAATCAATGAATCAATTTTCAGAATTCGTCTCTGTAAAACGTAACCCAAGATATGCAGTACCCATATCAAATAGAGCGAACGATGCAAATGTCCCCCAAGGGAAATGTATACCACTATTCAAAATGCGATGCACAGGCGCCCGAAAGAGTACCCAAAAATGAGAATCGAAAATAGCAAGCCCAATGGAGTCAGTAGTCTATGAGGTATCGGGGGCGAGCCGATTCCAGATCCATATCCAAATTCAAATATTCAAAACATTGCGTCGTAGAGGCCACACATGTATGGATGCCAAAAACCCATTTCGTATAGACGTGAAGAGAACCACGAACAAAGAGTAATATATGGTGCCAGCCAATCGCTCGAAGATCTCGATGGATGGGTAGTTCACATTTACATGGCTTTTTGTACATTGGTACATGTTCATCGGTACTTGTCCATGAACTCGGCGTGGAACTTGACGATGCGCTCAACCCAGTCGGTGCCGGGGGCAAGGAAGGTCGTGCGGAAGTGGAAAGTGTTCTCCTTCTGGCCGAAGCCCGAGCCAGGGACGACGCAAACACCCGTGGCGTCAAGCAGGGCCAAGCAGTAGAACTCATCAGCGGGACGGCCCTCGGCTTTGGCGGCTTCGATGGCCTTTGCGGGCAGGTGAATAGATGGGAAGAGGTACATGGCACCCTGTCGAGACGATTAGGAAATGCGCAACAAATTGAATAACTCTAGAATACGTACCTGAGGCTCCTGGAGGTGGACGCCCTCCATGCGCTGGAAGGCGTTGTACAAGGAAAAGGCACGCTTGCGCAGACCTTCTGAGATATCGGTGTACTCCTGCTGGTAGAGCTCGAAGCTTGGATCACCCTCGATGGGAGAGTTGACCATGCACTCGAGAAGGCACTGTGCGGTGACCGGTGGGCACAGGCCAATGCTGACCAGCTTGTAGATCTGCTCCTGGACCAAGGGGTCGAAGCCAGCAAGCTCGAAGTAGCCACCGCGGTGGCCGCACTCACCCACCATACCCTTGGAGATACTGTGCAACGAGACCAGCTCGATGTTGTCGTATTTGCCGGGCTGCTCCTGCTGGAGCTCGCGCAGTCGCTTCTTGAAGGAGATAAACTCACCCTTGAAAACGTTGGTTTGGTACACCTCATCAGCGATGACCACCAAGCTCTCCTCGGCAGCGACATCAAGGACATTCTTGATGTCCTCAGCGCTTAGAGAGGCACCAGTTGGGTTGCCCGGGTTGATCACGACAACGGCACGCACATCGGTCTTGGCGGCCTTGGCGTCCTCAATGGACTTGAGGATCGTGTTGACGTCAGTACCCCATGCCTTCTCCTCGTCGAGGAGGTAAGGAACGCAGCGGGCATTCAACAGCGTCAAGGTTGCGGTGTAAAGAGGGTATTGAGGGATGGGGACCAGGATACCAGTACTAGGAGCGTTGCAGATGACGTTCAAGATGGTGTTCACACCCGACGAGGCGCCCGAAGTCAAAAACAGGTCCTGGGGGTTTGCAGGGAAACCATCACGTTTCTCAATGAACTTGGCGACGCTATCCCGGATCCCCGCGGCACCCTGGCTGTGACTGTAGGCGCCAACGCTCTGCACATTGGCCAAAAGAACCCGGGCTCGGTCGATCACATCCTGCTTATATCCAAATGACTTCTTGAGGACCTCGGCGTTCTCCAACAACAATGGGTTCTCGACGAGACTGAGGACCTGGCGGAAGAAGGTGATGGGCACCTGATCGAGCTGCTGAGGATTTCCGATGTTGGCGAAGATGACGCTGTCAAATGGCAGGGACTTGTCGCCATCAATCAGACGCTGACGGTAGGTCTCAGCCTTGACGGCCAATTCACCGCGCACGGCGTACTTAGCATCCCTAACGTTCTGGTTGATGTTATCGACGTTTAGGCACTTAGGGGTCGGGGTGGACAGGTTGCGCTGCGCGCTATATGAGGCTGTCTGAGTCATGATGGACTCTGTTCGACCCGGAGGTTAGTGAGATTCAGAATAAGTAGACTAGTATCCCCAAAACTAAGAGGAGATCCAAATATATAAAGGCCGCGGAGACAGAATCGGATTCGGTCAAAACGAGTAATTACACCGCAGAACAACGGGTCAATACCGAAGGATTGCCGGAAACTCCATCTCGGGATCCAACGTACCTGAACTGACAGAGACACACCCCACAGCGGCACGTGCGGCCGGGCGATATAGGAGGCCATTATGCGGCCGGCTAGTCTGTGCCCGTAGCGGAAAGGCCCGCACGCTGGATGCGAGCTTATATTGCCAGGACATTTGGACGAATCGTCAATCAAGGATTAGATTGGTCAATTAAAAAAGTCCCTTTAGCACGAACCCCTGTCGTGATTGTCCGATTGCGATCGGGAGAAGAAGGGAGGAAAAAATGGCCTTGGCCATTTGGCGGTGAACCTGTGAGTCAGCATTTCTCCACATCCGGCGGATCACGATAAGGGTGTTGAACTATTTAGAGTCAAGGAGACCACCTGGGCACGGAAGATGTGGCTA